CCCAGAATCCCGCTCTAGTGCCCCCAGACTCAGCTCGACAGCGCCCCAGAATCCCGCTCTAGTGCCCCAGACTCAGCTCGACAGCGCCCCAGAATTCCACTCTAGTGCCCCAGACTCAGCTCGCTTCCGCATCGTGTTTGCTGCTTCCACAGACGGCTTCCTCGGGAAACGCGTGTTCTGCATGGGCATCTGTGGGCTCTCCTGGGCATCTGCGCACTCTCCCCAGCATCCGCGGTCTCTCCCGGGCATCCGCGGTCTCTCCCGGGCATCCGCAGACTATCCCTGGGCATCTGCCTGCTCCCTGGGGCCGTCCTGTTCCCACTCTCCCTGGTGCTCAGAGCTTTGAGGGTCTGTCCACCTGTGAATCACCAGCATCCCTGGCTGTTGCTGGTTATTCTTGATGCTGTTAAGAAATTCTCAACACAAAATTACCTGAATATGCTTTAGTTTTTAAAATCCAGTATATTCCATGCAGTATTTAAGAGAAAAGAGGAGGTGTCATATATAATAATCAGATTTTGTTGATACAATGTAGTTTTGTCACTGAGGTTGGGAGTGACTAACATTTGCCATCAACAACTGTTTATTGCCCCCAAATCCGGCAGTTTCTGGCTCTCTAAAGATTCTGGAGACACATTCAGGATGTTGCAGGGAGGATCTACTGTTTCCCAGCCTGGAGGTGGTACCCAGAGCTCACCTGTCACCCCAAGGATGGTGACAGCCCAGGGAAGGCGGTGGAAGTGAGACAGGTGCCCACCAGTGCCCCCTGGTGACGCAGCAACAGCAGGAGCCGAGGTGGGCAGGGCTCCCCATGCCCGGGCTGCTCTGAGCACTCAAGGCCCAGCTCACTTGTAAGTCACAAAGTCCCGGGAGGAAATGGCTGGTGCAGGAACTCCAGTGACTCCAGGTGACGCCGGGCAGCCTGTTTCCTGGTGGGGTTGGTTTGTGGCCATATGGGTGTGGTTGGCCTGTGTGCACACTGGCAGTTTTGTGCCTTTGCCCTTGCAAACACAACACAGACTCGGCCTGATCTAAGGAGACAATGCCCTGGGTTCACGGTGCTCAGTTGCTGTGGCCCGTCCGTGTGAGCACGTGACCTGGGCGTAGCTCACGGAAGCTGCACTCTCAAGTCCGTGCACTCCACACTCTTTCTGAGAACGGCTGAGACACACTGCTCCGCTGGCCTGGGTGGCCTCTGGACCAAGGGGCAGCTGTAAGTCAGACAGAACCCAAACGTCCGTCCCTGGCGCTGGGCTGGGCTGGGCTGAGAGAAGGTGTGGATAAGGAACACAGGGCAGCTTGCTGTTCGCACCAGGGGCCAAATTCAAGCACGAAACCACCGTGGTACTCACAGGAGCCCACACGAGAGCCCAGAGGAAAACCGTCCCTTGGCTTTGCCAGCCTCCAGCCTCACGTTGCTTACTTGTAGATGTATCTGTAGCCGTGAGAACAGATGCAGACCCAGCCTGTGTGTCCTCACTCCTTCTTCCCAATGATAACATGTTGCACAACTCTGGTGTGCGGTCACCGCCCAGTGTTGACTCGGACACAGTCGGGATCCAGAACATTCTGTCCCCGCAGGGTCCCCACTGGCCTTCTACAGCCACGCCACTCTCTGCTACTCCCCACCCTATCCTAACCCCTGACAACCACGGATCTGGTCTCCATCTTTACAGTCTTGTCATTTCTATGACGGGGCCACAGAGTAGGTAACTGGGGATCTCCACTCAGCGTGATCCTCTGAGGTCCCTCCGGTCGCCCGTGTCAATAGTCCTGTCCTCCTTTCTGCCCAGCAGTGTCCCACAGGTGGGTGGGCCACACTTTGCTCACACCTCCCCTCGAAGCGTCTGGCTCATTTCCAGCGTGCGCTGCTGTGAGCACTGTGTGCAAGGTTTCGTGTCAACAGAAGTTTTCATGGCTCTGAGTCCCAGGAGTGCAGACACTGGGTCATATGGTGGTTTAAGGAGCTGCCAGACTGTTTTCCAGAATGACTGCAGCGCTTCCACCCCCACCAGCAGCGTGTGAGCCATCCAGGGCTCCGGGATCGCCCGGTGTGGGTGTTGTCTTAGCCATTTTGATAAGTGTGCAGTGCCGTCTCGCTGGGCTCTACTTTGCGTTTCCTGAAGGTTAAGGACGTGTCTTCTCCCGAGCTGTGTCCATCTCTGTGCTTGCTCCAGCAATGCAGTTTCAGACTGGGTGGTTCTGTCTTTCCCTGCTGGGCTGTGACGGCTCTTTACATGTTCCGTGTCCAGGTCTTTGTCAGATCCGTGGTTTAAGGTTTCTTCCCCCAGACAGGGGCTTGTCTTGTCATGCTCCTAACGGAATCTTTCTCAGAGCAAAAATTTTGATTTCGGTGAAGTTCGGTTTGTTGGTTTTCCCTTTTCTGGCCTGTACTTTTGGTGTCAAGTCTTAAAAACTCCCTGCCTTACCCAAGACTCTGAAGATTTGGTCTGTATTTTTTTCTAAATGTTTTAGAGTTTTACACTTTGCATCTGTGGTCCACTTTGCTTCACATTTTATTTAAACTGTGAGTTGTAGGTGGAGGCTCCTCGTCCTCTGCCTGTGGAGGCTCCTCGTCCTCTGGGTGCTGTGTGAGGAGGCTCCCTTTCCTCCAACCCTTTGCTTTTGCTCCTTGGATACATCATGTGGGTATGGCTGGGGTCTGTGTGCACCCGTGCAGTGTCCCTCTGCCCTCTCACAGTACCCCACGTGTCACTATGCTGTATAATAACCCCAAGATTGGAGAGACCCATTTTGTCTCAGTTTCATAATTGTTTCAGCTCTTCTAGTTCCTTTGCATTTCTATATAAATGTTAGGATAACCTTTATTTCTACAAATGAAAAATCTTGCTAGGATTTAGATAGAAATTTCATTAAACCTGTCTACCAATTTGGGGAGAATTGACATTCTTTACCATATGGTGACTCCCAACAAATTAACATAGTCAGTTTTGTCATTTATTTAGACCTTCTCTGATTTCTTCTTTTCAATTTCAGATTAATGTGAAGGTACAAACAATTGGGTTATAATGTTTAGATTTGTCAGGTAAGGTCCCTGTTGTAGCTGTGCCCCACGCCCAGGAGGTGAGCCGTACACCCTTACATTGTGCCCATTAGGGGAGCTCACCCATCCCCCACTCTCTCCCCTCCCCCCAATTGGAATTGAATTGAGTTTTTCTCCCATGTGGGCGTGTACTAGTTCATCTATTGTCTTCATATTAGTATTGAGTACATTGCATACTTGCTTTTCCATTCTTGTGATACTTTACAAGAATTGTTCCAGCTCCGTTCAGTTTAATACAAAAGACATAAAGTCTCCATCTTTTTCTGGCTGAATAGTATTCCATGGTGTACGTGTAGCACAGCCCTGCGTTCCTGGTACAAACTTCACTTAATCTTGATGTGTGATTATTTTTACATATTTCTGAGCTGCGTTTGCTGATACTTTGTAAGTGATTTCCGTGTCAGTATTCATGACGGGGATATTGGTCTGTAGTCTGCACTGTTGGCTTTGTCTGGATTTGGTATCAGGATAGTACTAACTTCATGAAATGAATTAGGACATGTTTCCTCCTCTTCTGTTTTCTGAAAGACAGTATTTAGAATTGTGTTAATCCTTTAAATGTTGAGTAGAATTCTCCAGCGGCACCATCTGACCTGGAAGTTTCTCTCTGGGACTTTTTAAAATTACAAATTGAATTCCTTAATAGTTGGGGCATTCAGGAGGCCTGTTCCTCAGTGGGCGGGTTATGCTGCTCCTTGCTTGTCTGGGATCGGCTCACACAGTGTGTGTAGAGTAGCTTGCAGCCTTCCCTTACTGCCCCTTTGATGTCTGCAGGGTCTTATCTGATATCTCCACATGTGTAGCTGTGTGCTCCGTTGACTCTCTGCATTGCTCCTCTATCTTCTAGTTCATGGACGGCTCTCTGTGCTGCTCCCTCCCTTCCTTCTGCTGTTCTATGGGTCCCTTTTGCTCTTCCTTTCCCGGGTGCCTAGGGCAGGATCTCTGAGTCTGGAGTTGGGAGTCATCTCCTGGCACTGCCCGTGGTGCTGGCCGTTTTCCTGCCGGCATTGTCGCTGCGTCTCACAGCTGCATTTTGATGTGTTTTCATTTTCTTTGAGTTCAGTGTCTTCTGAAATTTGTCTTGAGACTTTCTCCTTGACACATGACTCACTCAGAGGGCTGCTGTTCGATTGCCACATGTTGGAAGACTTTCCTGCTGGCTTTCTGTTGTTGTCTTCTAATTCAATTCTCTTACAGTCAGGAAATGCACTCCGTGTGGTTCAATTCTTTTACATTTGGGGCTTTTCCCTACAGCCCAGGATGCTATCCATGTTGGTGCCTGCTCTGTAAGCGCTTGCTGAAAGCACCTGCTGCTGTGCGGGGAGGGGTCTGGGCTGGGGATGGGCTGGTGCGATCCTGGGTTTCTCTCTACCTCTAAGATCATTAACTCTTATGGAATATGTTACTTTCTCCAAAAATTTCATAATAATTGATCTATAACCCTGGTGAGGTCACCACAGAGGCCTATGAACTCTTAACGGTAATCTAATCAATGGAGGTCGCTTTCTTCCCTGGTAGGTGTGTGGGTCTTGAGCCAGCCAGCACCTCGGCCCGTGGTTCTACGAAAGTTTCCTGGCTGACATTTTTATTGTTGTAATTTCAGGAGATAAATGAAACATTATTTCTCTTTTTTTTTTATCAAGTCACTGAATGGTAAAATCAGAGGGAACCTTGGGTCATCTGGTCCACCCTCTCATTTGACAGGTGAAGCCAGGAGGTCTTGAGAGGTTAATTTAAATCGATTTGTTTTTGAAATGTCTTTTCTTTTTATGAAACTAATACGTGTATATGTTCATTATAGAAAATGAATAAGATAAAGAGAAAAAAATAAGAAAATATAATTTATACATAATCTTATCACCAAAAGATAATCACTACTATTATTTTGGAGTGGACCCTCCAATAGGTCTTTAAAAATGGGATGACTGGGCAGTGCCTGTGGCTCAAAGGAGTAGAGCGCCAGCCCCATATGCCAGAGATGGCAGGTTCAAACCCAGCCCTGGCCAAAAACTGCAAAAAAAAAAGTGGGACGACTTTGTGTGACTGTTTTAAAATCTTTTTTTTTTTTTTTTACTTTAGCAATAAACATGAACATTTTCAAGATGCTGTTTATTATCTTAGCTGAGTATGGTTTCTAGTACAGATACATTATCTTTTATCTACCAAACCTCCATTTGATGGAGATGCGTGTCACCCTTGTCACCCTGCAGATGACATTGTGATGGGCTTCTCTTGTGCACACGCAAGATTATTTCCTAGAAATGGGACACTGGCTCAGACGTTATGAACATTTTTAGTTTTTGAGGCTCCCTGACCAATTGGATTTTTTGTTTGGGGAGATTTGTTTCTTTTTTTTTTATATTTTGTGTAGGCTAAGCCTGGCGTGGGTTCTCAGTGATTCAGGCATGAGCTAATGGCTAACCATTACCAGGAAGAGATCTCTCCCTTCCCAGAAGCAGGAAGTGCAGATGAAAACAGTGAGGGTCCCCCATTGGGCCTGCCCGGAAACGGAGACCGCAGGGTACACGCAGCCCTGGCGGACCTTGTAAAACCAGCCGCCCAGCCCAGTTTTACAGACCTGGCAACAAAGGGACAGAGTAACTTGACCTGGCCGGCTTCCTCTGCAGGCCAGCGTGAGAACACCATGCTTTGCACTTGAACTCACTCTGTCACGGTAATTGCCCCCATAAAATAGACCCAGGCACTAAGAGAAAGCTTCCCGTGTTTAGAGACCCAGTCCTGCCTGCTTTTTATAGCCGGTGCCATCAGGCTGTGGGCTGGAGCAGCCAGGAGGAAAAGTGCGTGTGGAGGAGGGAGGCCCCGGTTGCCGACCGAGAGGTCCAAGTGTCCCTGCAGGCAGCTCTAGGCCCTGTGTGCAGCCCAGGTGCCCCGCACGTCCTTCCTCTGGTCTCTCCCGTCTGTGTCCCATCTGTCTCCCTCCTCGGTTTGCAGAGAGAGAAGAGCTGATCCAGAGCGTGCTGGCCCAGGTGGCAGAGCAGTTCTCGAGGTACCGACTCCTAAACACATTCTACGCCCGGTGCTGTCTTTCTGTGAACGTGGGTCTTGGCCCTGCAGCTGGCTGGCTGCAGCTCGGACATGTCCCCCACCTGGAGAAACCGCCTCCAGAATGGACCCTTCTGTGGCTTCTGTAACTGAGCCAGCTTGGATGGGGTCCAGGAAAGCCTCGCCTCATACCAAAGACCATGTCAGGGAGGCACTTTGACAATGAGAATTTCCTCAGCTGGCTCTCCTGGGACTAGGAGAACAATCTACCAGAGCTGACACCACTTTACAAATGTGCTTTCCTACTGGTATTCTGGGAGTTGGGGTATCTCCTGTTCATTCTGAGTGGTCCCCCCAATTCTAACATAAACACTGAATTTTCAGTTTCTCAAATTGATTTCTCTGTGGCATCTTACTGCCCCAGAGTAATAAAAATGGGGGGAAGGGAAGATGTATACTGTTACTTAAAAAGCCCCTGCAGTGTTCAAACTGAATGGGCTGGAGCCTGGGGCTCAGACTACAGCCCCTTTGGGTGTCTGTGCCCCGGGGCAGGGTGTGGGGGCTGAGCTATCTCACCCCAAGAGCAGAGACGGTGCCACTTGTCCTCCCTGGAAACCTTTGTCCACTACCCAGGTCTGAGGAAATGAATACGCCTGCTGGCGTACGGCAGTGAGTCTCCATCCTGGGGACTATTCCCGTGACATTGCAATGCCCGCAAAGCCACTCCGGCGTCTTGGCACCCAGCCCCTCCGCAACCCACCTCCAGGCCTCACCCCTGGCGGGGAGGGATTCAATCAGTATTTGCCTAGAAGTGTCGGCCTTGTGGACTTCAAGGGTTGTGCTTCCTCTCACTCTTGTTTTCATTCCTAGAGCGTTTAAGATCAACGAACTGAAAGCTGAAGTTGCCAACCACTTGGCCGTGCTGGAGAAGAGAGTGGAATGTGAGTCACTTCTCTTTCCTTCTTCCTCATCCACCCTTTAACCTCCAGCCAAAGGAACCCTTGGAACAGGGAGTTCATGCTGAAGGTGAACGCTCTTGGTGAAGAGCTTATAGCTCACCTCTGCTGTTAACAGAGGCAGACCAGTCACTGACTGAGCATTTGCTTTCTATTTTAAAAGTAACACCCCACCTGGCCCAAGGCAGCCCTTCAGTACAGAGAGCACAAAATGGAGAGCGGAGGCCATGGCCCCTCTCAGAGCCCCTGCTGGCTGTCCTGTCTGGGTGTCCCTGTTTACAGAGAGGACGTTCTCTGCACACTGACCTCACTCTGGCCACACAGGGTTTCAGAATGTGTCCACCAAGTCACTTTCCCCGGGTTGCCATTCACTGCGAAGAAAAGCAGAAAAACTAGTGAGCAAAAGAGTCGATCCAGGCCTAACTCAGTGTCCAGAAAGCTCAAACTCTGGGAGGAAAACAGCTTCAAGTCACCCCTCCTTATGTCCTTATCCACAGCTGGAGGGTTGGAATTCCATGTACCTCACAGTTCTGCCTTCGCCCACATGGAGAACTCCATCATGGCTCGGCACCGTGGCTCAAGTGGCTAAGGCGCCAGCCACATACACCAGAGCTGGTGGGTTTGAATCCAGCCCGGGCCCGCCAAACAACAATGACAGCTGAAACCAAAAAATACCCAGGTGTTGTGGCAGGCGCCTGTGGTCCAGCTACTTGGGAAGCTGAGGCAAGAGAATCACTTAAAACCAAGAGTTTGAGGATGCTGTGAGCTATGACACCACAGCACTCTACCAGGCTGACAGCTTGAGGCTCTGTGTCAGAAAAAAAAAATGGGAGGACTTCATCAATGTCACTGCCAAGGTTAATGATTAACAGACGCTGTGTTTATTAACTTAGATGCTAAGTAAACAAAATCCAAACAGGAGGCCATTAAGGGTCCCAGAATTGCCTCTATACATATATACATACACACATATACTGGCTGATGAAGGCTCCCAGGATCACCTCTATACGTATACACATAGGCCCATATACTGGCTTATTGGTATTTGTTACAGTGGACCGAATGTCACCTTTCATAGCTTGTGTTTCTTATAATTTCTTCAATTAAAGAATTTAAAGAATTTTTTCTTCAAAAAAACTTCAGGATCATGCAAACCTGACTCATCTAGACCAGGAGAACATGATCTCCGTAGCCTATGCCACCTGTACCTAAAATCTGAGGGTGGGCGAGTGGGCTGGAGGGAGGACCTTGTGTCCTGCCATTCTGCCATTGTCTGTGCAGGCCTTGCAGCATGAGGCCCCTTGGGACTGGCCTGCTCTTCCCTCTGGGACGGGCTGGCGAAGATTGGGGTGGGTCAGTAAGGTGGACTATACAGGCGTCCTCAAACTACAGCCCATGGGCCACATGTGGCCAGCCTAGGACATTTATCCAGGCCGCCAGGTGTTTTTGCCGCTGCTGCAGGTCCTACTTAGCAGCCGACTCCTCCTGGGGCCCACAGTCCAGCCCTCCAAGGTTCTGAGGGACAGTGAACTGGCCCCCTGTTTAAAAAGTTTGAGGACCCCTGCTAGATAGATTCTTCCCAAAGGCAGCCTGGTGTCCCAGAAGAGCCAGGGAGGCAGGAGTCCTGGGACGCTGCCATCTCCCCCTCCCGGGTTCCCTTCCAGCTCTGTCGTTCCGTGGCGTGCAGTTTGTCTTTTCCAATGATTAATCCACGACTTTTGCTGACTTGTTACTCTCAATTTCCAACGGCCTCTTCATAAACTTAATTGCCATAAATTCTGGTGCTCTGGAATTCAGACTAGCGATAGTGTGCTGTGTTCCCCAAGGGGCTTAATTGTAATACCATCACCCCAGTAAATGGCCGGCGAAGCTGATCTCAGTGAACCCCCAGACCAGTGTGGACATCACACACCCACCAAAAGCCACGGGCCAGCTTTGCACCGGGCCTTATGGTGAAAAATGAAAAGAAAAAAGCATAGGTTTGTGCAAACTCATTCAGCAGCAAAATGATCTGAACTGACACGAAGCCCTTGGTGTTTGTTTGTCCTGCTTTGTGTGATGAACAAGCATTTTCTGCCGGGAGGATAAAGCCTGTGAGCTGGGAGTCCAGCACTGACTGGGGAGGATAAAGCCTGTGAGCTGGGAGTCCAGCACTGACT